ATAAATGTTATGTAGTGTTAATTTGAAGTATATCTATAAAAATGGCTTAAGTTTTGCGAATTCCGGATAAGCATCTGTTCCAGGGGAATGGCAGGTAGGATACGATACCGCCTTCTGAATTCCTTCAAAGCCGAGACGATTAAAAGCCCTGATGCCACGCATTTTGGGAGGGGATTAAGTTCCATGCTGAATCTTGGCTAACCCAAGCATGTCTTTTTTCCTTTCGCTTGGTTGGCGCATGCTTTTTCTAGAATGGACGCCTGTCCTGTCCTTTACCCGGCTCTCAATATCTATAGAAAGATACATCCAAATCTCAACATGGATTCATAGAAGAGCTTGATGCGTGGCGCATTCCAAACACAAAGTTGGTAAGCTCTCACTATACTGTCTATCGATTTGTTCTTCTTTCATTACCATATTTTCAAAGTCTTAATTAAAGGTAATTCATTGGTGTTATTGGAGTCAGGCAAATCAAGCCCACTAGCATCAAGTACCGCTGGTAGTTTGCACTTTAATGTATAACCTAAATGGGGCTTATAACTTTTCGTAACCCTTCAGTGATACTGATCTGAGCAAAAGGGAGGAGCTGGAACATTTTCTCATGATTCTCATGCAGATTAGATGGTCCATTTGTAAACGATTCCCGTTTTGGCGTCAGACAGCAAAAACTGGAACCGTCACCGTTCCCAACGAGACGACCAGTTTCCATAAAATGATTTGGGAATTTTTGATCGATGTATAATTAATAGATACAATCGATCGTGGGAAACCGTGACATTTCTTAAGATTCTCTTCACTTTAAAAAGCAGAATAGTGCAGAAACGTACAAAGTCCAGGTATTACTAAATGCCAAACCGTTAAACTTCCCATGGATACCTCCTTTTTCCCCTTTTCGCCGTTGAACCATTTTTTTGAACATGGCTCCTTCTACTCTGGTGAAGCATACTACTCCTCCTCGGGCATTACCTTACTGCCCCTGGTGGATCAGCGCTTAGTGAATCAGCCGATGTACAGGTCAGATTTTCATCTTCCTGAACGAGTCTGGGTCCAATTACGATTGACTACGAAAGGATGGAAACCCTGGTTGGTATGGTTATCTATTAAGCCGCGATTTGATCACTGGACGTTGCCTATGTGCAAGTGCGCCACCTGCCACTACTCCACCTCCGCCCAGTGAGAGGGTAAAGCAGAGGGAAATTGTAAGTTCGGTGGATTGAGTGGAAAGGGATCGAATCATAAATTGTTCGGAGGTTCTAGAAATTTTTTAGTAATTCTCTTCCACATCATTAAATCCCATCCTTAGCAATTCAAGGAACAATATGCATACGTGGCGTATTCCGTTTTCAGCTGAAACCGATGTGGTTGGCCAGCTTGGCAAGCATCGCTCCACCGTTATTGCATCCAATTTTATCAATCATTTTCCTCATAAACCCATCTCGGAGATATAAAAGTTTGTAATAAATAATTTATTCGCAATCATTTCATGTTGGTTTTTTTTATTCGACGTGAGGAGCTGTCAAATGATCGAAATATTGCATACATTATGGTGTTCAATCGTTCGGCTTCGTATTTTTTCTCACGTTTTTCGATTATTCTTTCCATGCGCTGAAAACGAGTGGTTGAAACGGTCTGAACTGCCCGTCATCGATCGGCTATCGATTGGAAACAATCGATATTTTTCGCTAATATCAATCATATACTGGCTTTCCAAGCGAAACACATACACCCATACTACCTTTTCACATAAGGTAATGTGGCGTGCAACGATGTTTGTGATATGACTAAACATTTGCCGACCCTTCTGAGCCGCTTAGTGGTTTGGCAACACTTTTTCCTTGCCAGCATTTTTTTGCTATTTTTACTTTACATTAAAAATATTCAACAGAAATTTTGCCCATTGTAGTAGCAATCTCTAGCTTGAGCTATTGAAATTCCTGGAAATGCTCATCTAACCATGGAAAGACGTACTGAAAGGGATTGACTGGGAGTCTTAAAAGGATAAAGGTCATCCCTTAAAAACTAGTTATTTAATTTTTTCTAAGCTTTATTTCTCTTCCTCTGTATATTTCCTTTTATTTTTGATTTCCATTTATTAAATTTTCACTCGGTTACTATCTCATTGTTTCATCTCTGTTCAATTCTGAGATATTTGTAATATTTATTCACTCGATTAAATCAGCTTGCTAATTGTTTACTTATTTATTTATTTTCAATACTCGATTTAAATAATATGAGAGCGTTTTCATACGCTGCAAAAGTGCTACTCTGTGGAACGTGATCGGCTTTAATCGGCTTAGTAGGGATTGGCATTTTGCCAAGTACAGAAAGTGAAACTCGTTTTGATCTGATATGGACAAGGGTTTCATACTACCTCTACGACAGTGGTTCAAAAATTAACGGACACGGCTAGCTACGAATTTTTGCAAATTTCTTCTTCACGTTTTTTTCCTTTTCCTTTTTTCTTTTTTTTCTTTTTTCTTTTCTTTCTCTCTTTCTTTATCTCCTACTCTGTCATCTCTTTCAAGACTTGTACATTTCTTTTTTCATTCATTTATTTACTAATACTAGTGAATAACAAAAGAAAACAAAAGTATGCTAACTATTCATGACTCGGGGGATCGAATTACACACAGGTCTCTGGCTAGCAACAAGAAGAACACTAACTCTCGAACAGTGTTTTGTAAGCTTTGCCCGTGTTTCCACTTAATTTGCATTTCAGGTCCATTTGTTCTTTAGTCGGCCCTTCCACGTATATCCTCTACTTTCCCTAGGTACCACCACGCTACTGCATAGTTCGGTATGGGAAGTACCCTAAAATTCCATAGATAAGAGCGGGTGAACCTACCGGTGAAAAATGAATTGGAAAAAATCGAAATTGAATGCAGTCACCCCTCTAACTTGATGGATGGATAAATTAAACTTCGAAGAAGAAGTTAAGAAGAAGCTCCGCCCCTCAATTCGAAACCCCGCCCACTCAATAAACAATTCATGTAGAAAAATAGCAATCCGTTAAAATCGCTAATTTTCTATATGAATTGTTCATTAAGTGGGTGGGGTTTAGAGTCGAGGGGCGAAGCTTCTTCTAAACTACTTCTCCGATGTTTATTTATCTATCCATCGAGTTAGAGGGGTCTTCACCGGTAGTTTCAACCGCTCTTATCTATGGAATTTTAGGGTAGTGAAAGAGGAGTGGCACCGCGGGGAGGGCCACTACCAGTGCAATTGTCAAGGTATCAAACCCTGGTTTGATACAGATCCATATCTTCCAAACTTATGTACATTGGCTGAACGTCTCAAGCTTCTGTACACATGTATATGTGCAATGGTAATACGATTCTGAATAGGAACTAGGGATGAAGACGCATTTCAAACCTGTAGTCTGTCCAGCACTGAAAACTGTCATTTCTGCTGTGATTGCATTACTCTCCCGTGCTCTGAAGTTTTAAATTATTTTTTGTTCAAAAAGGTAGGTGGAACTTAGATAGAGTGGCTTGGGTTTATAAAACGCTGGCTTATTCACAAATAAATACCAAGTTCACTGTATAGACTATGAAAACATTCCACCCAAGAATCTTGAATGAAGTTTGGAAGCATGGCTTACTCCAAGGCACGGTTAGCTCTCATTTAGTTTTTACTCTGTCTCCGTTCTATGCATAGTACCTTATACGCCACTATATCGCTTCCTGAGTTTTCGGTATCACGAACCTGAGCTCCCCATTTCAGGATGTGGGCGGCATCTTTGGTCGCGATGGCGGCCTTTCTATTCAGCAGCCATGTATGGGCTGTAGAAGACTTTATGGCAAAACGGGTTTTTCTTAAAACACCTGCCTCATTTGTAAATCTGACCTCAGAAGCTTGGAAAGTTCATGGTGAGTTTAGGTGATCAGTTAAGGAGTTTTGAGTTGTTTTGGTGAATGGTTCCCATCTTCATCGCATCAAACTCTACCCCAGTTCAGTGAAATTGAATGAAAACGCTTTTACAACGCTGTTCTAGATCGAAATGTCGAAATCACGCTTGCTGTTCGTTTTCAGCCGAACACGAAAGTTGGACAGGTGTTCAGTTTACGTGCCATTGACCAACACGGAAAAAAGATTGTGAAGGTAAAGTTCACCTGCTCAAAGTTCATTCTTTCAATTTCTTATTATGAAACTACGCCAAAATTGAAACATCGCTCTTGCTTCCCAAGCATGC